CTTTATATACAACAATAGTTTAGTTATATAATATACACTTAGAGAGAGACCCCTTCTAAAAAAAACGTTAAAATGTATGACCGGCATGCGAAACCTTAAATTAAAGTGAATAAATGAAGACTCGGCACACCACTTCTGAAAGGTTACCTACCCCTGCTGTGGATAGTGGATTGGATGCGTATACAACTGCGCAGGGCTCTACTCACTGGCGGCAGCTGTCCCGCGGCATCCGGCTCAGGCAGCCGGGGGATAGGGGTGTACAGCGCGCTCGGGGCCGGTGGCCAGCAGCAAGTGGCTGAGGCTGGGCAGGAGGCTGGGGTTGGGGCATCTAGCACCCGCTCACTGTGCTGCTTCCTGTCCAGTGTCTCAGGCCCCTCAGGCAGCGCCAGCATCCCCTCCATGGCCCAGCCCCGCAGCATCAGCTGCACTCCTGGCCCACTGGCTCCTGGGCAGCAGGACCTGCCCCTGCCCATGGGGACTGGAGTGGGCATGGCTCCAGCACCCGACCCCTCTACCCCACTGTGACACTGATTGTGTCAGTAATACTGTTCCTTTGCCATCAGAGTTATTTGCATTTGAATCTCTGCAGCGCCTCCCCCACCCCATGTCCTTTATTCCCTCCCCTTTACTTACTAAGGGTTTGCCTACATAGGCACAGGAAAGGTGTAAAGTTAATGCACATAAATTACAACTCCTAAAGCCCATGTGGATGCACTCATTCAAAAGTAAGTGACTTCGTTTTGACAATGGCAGTCAGGGCAACCATAGAAGATTGCAGGAATCCTTTCCCAAAATACTGTAAATCATCAAGCTTTTGACCGGTCTTGAACATATTTGTACAGTCCAAGTGTAACCCACATTTAATTTTTTTAGATCCAAAGAGAAGGAAGAAAGCAATGGAGCACTCATCTTAACTCTCCTGAGTGTTGCCCTCAGCAGAAAAGCCTTTGCAGCATTTTACAGGTACAGTATCAATTTTGGCATGACAAAATTTCAATACATGTTTTATGGTTAAAATTTGATACAGGTTTGATTTAATTTGATAACAAGAGTTGTCAAATAAATAGGCCTAATCAACTTTATTAATCAAAGATTATTAGGCAAAGATTAAAACAACAAGGAGAAAGGAAGAACAATATGTTACCACTGATCTGGGAGACAGTTGTGCGGCTGGTCAGCTGACTCAATCTGAGCTTCACTCTGCCTCCATATATACTAGTGTTGAGGGTTTCACCATTTCTTTGCATTATTTCTTATCCTTCTTATCTATTACCTTTGACATATTTTGAAGACTTTTTGCTAGGCTTGCACAGCCCCTGCAGTACACAGGACAAAGTTTGTAATTAGTTTATTATCCTGTTTTTGATCATATTCCAGAAGCCAGCAAAACCTGAGAGACATCCTTCACCAGTTACAGCTTGGTACAGAGGGCATGTTAGCTAAGCATCAGCAACATTGTTTGTATTGTCCTTGTTCTTTGGAATGTTTTTATAACTAACACTGACATGACAATTCTTCACATCTTCCCTTGGTTACACAGTTTAATGTAAGCAAAAGCATTTTGGAAGAGCTTAACATGAATAAAATAGGTATACAAAAACATATGTGATATTGTATATCATATTGGCTTACACTATAAACCTTATAGACTTTATCTGTGTAGTAGGTTTGGGCCGAGGTTCGGCCCTCAGCGGGGCTGTGGGGTATCCCACTGCCTAGCTCTGGTCCGACGGCAGTCGGGGACCACAGACCCACAGTTAGGGGCTAAGGCCCGTAAGCAGGGGCTGAGCCAAGAGGTTCGAACACAGGCCCTTAAGTAAGGGCTGAGGCAAAGTCTATAGCAGCCCAGGCCTTAAGTCAGGGCAGGGCAGTAATCAAATAGTTAATCAGAGGCCCAGGTCCCTAAGCAGGGGCTGGGTCCGTTTGTAGTAGCCTAGGCCCTGCATCAGGGCAGGGCAGCAAGCAAATAGTCAATCGGCGGCCCAGGCCCTTAAGCAGGGGCTGGGTCAGTAGCAAATAGTCACCTAGGTACCCAGCTTCTCTAGGCCAGGGGAAACAGGGGGAGTCTGCCACTCAAGGAGTGGGTGGCAGGGGGGACGCAGGCCCTCCCACTCCACTGCGTCCCAGCCCGGGGCCCTAGCAGCGGCGGAAACTCGCTGCTGTCAGTGGGGATCCTGGCCGCAACACACTGACATTGGCTCTGGCAGTGCAGCAGCCAGACTGGGGTTGGCTGCCCCCGGGCTACTTCCACCCTCCCCCTCGTTTGGTACCTGGGCCGTCTTAGTGTTGTCGGTGCTCTCCACCAGTATTGGCTCCTCTGGGTAGGTAGCGAAGGGCAGGCTTGGCTCCTCCTCGGGGTAGTTGGCACGGGGCAGGCTCGGCTCCTCTTCGGGGTAGCTGGCACGGGGCAGGCTCGGCTCCTCTTCGGGGTACCTGGCACGGGGCAGGCTTGGCCAGTCCTCCTCGGGGTACGTGGCACGGGGCAGGCTCGATCGGCCCGGTGCGTCAGCAGGCCGGTCGCTGCCGGCGGCTGTTTCCGAAGCGGGAGCTCGGCCACGGACGTCTGCTCTCTCCGCCGGCCTGGCCTCCACTGAGCTCTGCAGGCGGGCTTTTATACTTCCGGGTCGGGGCCGTGACCTCGGATGGGCGGCCGCCGGACCCGGTGGCTCCGCCCACGTTGGTATTAGGGGAGGTTCGGCCCTCAGCGGGGCTGTGGGGTATACCACCGCCTCGCTACACCTCCCGCCCCCAAGGCTGGCTCCCGTCCCTCGGGGCCAGACCTGTCCAACTCTCCCAGGCGCGACAAGAAGTCCGCATTCGCGTGGTCCTTACCGGCCCTATGGCGGATGGTATAAGCATAGGGTTGTAACACCAGATACCACCGCGTTAACCTCATATTATTGTTCTTCATCCGGGCCAACCACCGAAGCGCGACGTGGTCAGTGACTAGTATGAAGGGGGCCCCTAGGATGTAATAACGCAGGGCGTCACAGGCCCATTTTACTGCCAGGGCCTCCTTCTCGATTACAGCATAGTGTCTCTCTCACGGGAATAATTTCCGGCTGAGATATATAACTGGGTGCTCCTCCCCATCCACCTCCTGAGACAGGACTGCCCCTAGTCCTATCTCTGAGGCGTCGGTCTGTAGGATGAACCCTTGGTCAAAGTCAGGGCTGTACAGGATGGGTTCACGGCAGAGACAGTCTTTGAGAGCCCGGAAGGCGCTGTCACACTCCGGGGTCCATTCCACTCGTCTGGGACTGGTTTTGACGAGGAGCTCTGTTAAGGGGGCTGCAATGGAGGCAAAATCAGGGATGAACCTCCGGTAATAGCCCGCAAGTCCCAGAAATTGGCGTACGTGGCGCTTCGTAGTGGGTGGTGGGCATGCTGCTAGGGCTTGGACCTTTCCCACAAGGGGTTTCACTTGTCCCCCTCCAATCATGTAGCCCAGGTAGGTGGTCTCCTGCCACCCGATACGACATTTCTTTGGGTTGGCGGTTAACCCTGCGGCTCGTAAGGACCTCAAGACAGCCGCTACCCGCTCCAGGTGGTTTTCCCACCGGTCGCTATAGATGACGACATCGTCCAGGTACGCGGCTGCGTACTTGTGGTGAGGAAGAAGGAGGCGGTACATGAGCCGCTGGAACGTCGCGGGGGCACTATGGAGACCGAAGGGCATCCGGGTGAATTGGTAGAGGCCCGTGGCGGTGGCGAAAGCCATTTTCTCCTGCAGATTCCCCTCCGTGGGGTCGAGGGGAATCTGCCAGTACCCTTTGCTTAGGTCAAGGGTCGTGAGGAAGCAGGCCTTGCCTAAACGGTCCAGCAGCTCATCTACCCGAGGCATTGGGTAGGCGTCGAAGTTTGAGATGGAATTAACATGACGGAAATCCATGCAAAAGCGCTGTGTGCCGTCCGGTTTGGGAACCAGGACTACTGGGCTGCGCCACTCGCTTTGGGATGGTTCAATGACACCCAGCTCTAGCATCGCTCGGACTTCCTCCTCGACGACCTGTCGCATGCGATAGGATAGGGGCCTCGTCGACTCTCAGATCACCACCCCCAGCTCCGTCTGAATGGTATGGTACACGAGGGTCATATAGCCCGGCTGGGCGGTGAACGTCCCACGGAACGCCTGCAGGAGGCACCCGGTCTGTTTCTGTTGTTCCACAGTCAAAGACTCCCCGAGCTGCGGTGTGGTGATGTCTTCTGTCGGTGTAACCCGGGGCCCTAACTCGGGTTCTGGTGGACAGGGATTAATTAAGAGGCCTTCCCGTTCCCGCCAGGGTTTCAGGAGGTTGACGTGATACCGCTGGACTTTTTTTCGGCGGTCTGGCTGGTTGATCTCATAGGTGACCGGCCCAATCTTCCGGATCACCTCATATGGCCCCTGCCACCGAGCCAGTAGTTTGGATTCACTGGAGGGTAAGAGAAGTAGAACGCTGTCGCCAGGTTGGAACTCACGGACTCAGACCTCTCGGTTATATGTCTGGGCCTGAGCTTCCTGCGCGGCCTTCAGATTCTCTCGAGCTAGGGTTCTGGCTTGCTCTAGGCGTCCCTGCGGCTGGAGGACATACTGTAGAAGGCCCTGAGTGGGTGACGGAGCTTGTTCCCAGGTCTCTCTCATGAGATCTAGCAGTCCCCTCGGACGATGGCCATATAGCAGCTCGAAGGGAGAGAATTTGGTGGAGGCCTGGGGTACTTCACGGACAGCCAGGAGCAATGGTGGGATCAACTGGTCCCATCAGCACAGGTCCTCAGGGGAGAACTTGCGCAACATGTCTTTCAGGGTGCGGTTGAACCTCTCGACTAGGCCGTCGGTCTGCGGGTGGTACACAGAGGTGCGTAGCTGCTTAATCCCAAGGAGTCTGCAGACCTGCCGCAGCAACCGGGAGGTGAAGTTGGTACCCTGGTCGGTGAGGATCTCCCGGGGCAAACCCACGTGGGCAAAGACCTTGACAAGTTCGTCAGCAATGCTTCTTGCAGTGATGCTCCGGAGCAGGACGGCTTCGGGGAAGTGGGTCGCGTAGTCCACTATGACCAGAATGTATAGAAACCCGGTCTGGCTCCTCGGGAGGGGTCCCACCAAATCCATGGCCACCCGCTCGAACGGGGTCTCCATAATGGGCATGGGGACTAGTGGGGCCGGGGCCGTCCGTGGGGGAGCAGCGAGCTGGCACTCCGGACAGGAGCTACAATAGTTTCTCACCTCCTGGTGCACCCCAGGCCAGAAAAACCGAGACAGAATCCGGGCGAGGGTCTTTTCTTGACCCAGGTGCCCTGCTGCGGGGACGTTGTGGGCGAGCTTTATCACCGCTCGTCGATGGCACCGCGGCACCATCAGTTGTCTTTGGACCTCCCCGGTGCGGGAATCTCGATCCACCCGATAGAGGCGGTCACGTCGTAGCTCGAACCGGGGCCATACCTTAGCCTGGGCGGGATCAATCAGAGCATCGTCTACCACCGCCAACTGTTCATACACCCGACTCAGGGTGGGATCCTCCTTCTGGTCTCAGCAGAAGTCCGTGCCGATCTGAGGGTCATCTGTCAATGTTAGTGGGAGGTCTTTAGGCACGCCTTCCTGGCTCAGAGGTCCCGCTTCTTCAGCCTCCCCAACGGGGTCCTCGCGGCAGTCCCCCTCCAAGGCTGGGGTGATATCGGGGCTCTCCTGCGCATAGGAGCCCAGGACGCCCGGGAACTCTGGCCAGTCCCGCCCCAAGATCACGGGGTAGGCAAGTCGCGGGGCCAGGCCAACCACCATAGTCCGCGTGACTCCGTCGACGGTCAGTGGGACTCGGGCACTGGTGTAAGGCCGAACGTCACCATGGATGCACTGCAATAGGATGTTCCCCAGCTGGGGGTCTTCAGGGAAGCCCAGGCTTTGGCGGATTAGGGTTTGTCCACAGCCAGAGTCAACCAGGACCCGCGTCTGGCAGTCTCCGACAACGACGGGCATGGTGACCTTG